CTATTGAAGCCACAATTGAGACTTTAGCCAGGTGGCACATTAAGCCAGGAAGCTTTTAGCTTGTAGCACAACATAAATCAAATCAGAAATCAGGATATATTCGGTAGAGTGGCCGTCAGGAATCACCTTTTCGTTTGAAATTAAAACTTAAGCTTTACTCAAAGAACTTTTTAGTCCTTTGACATATTATTTTCCCGCAGATATCAACTTTTCTGTCACTTAAAAACACTGGCTGCATAATCGCAACCAACATGATCACTCGTGGATTATCCACGCACTGAAAAAACAACGAAGGTTCTTAAAATAACATAACACACCTCCACCTGTGGCATGGCCAATTCTGGGACTCTTTGGTGCGTTTAGATAAATGAATCTGGCAACAAAAGCCGCGCAATAGCTTATAGACAATAAAACCACGTTGCTTCGGCACAGCCTACGGAATGAAAATGGACGTAGCCTGGAGAAGATAGTAGGATATATAGGACAAGACGCACTTCCTTCTCGGCATCTTCGAATTTACTTTTCTGACTGCAATTTTTCCCTTAACCAATTGCAAGATCCCCTTCACCATCAGCAACTGTCTACGTCCATTCAAAACTGAACTAACGATACTTATTTTATTTAGCGTCAAATAGTCCGCTTTGGCGCTTCATTTCTTGTGGAGGTTAGTTTTGTAAACTTGACAGCAGAAGAACCCAGTAAGTGAGAGGAGGGAAAAGAGTTTTATTCACCAGATCTTTCGATATCCGATGCAAAAACAGAAACTGGCAATCCATGTGCAGGGAACTATAAGATTTATAGGATACAGTCACTATATTACTACATACTTGTGACAATTAATGGCTCCCCTATCGAGGAAAATTGTCCGCTTTTGCGCTAATTACTTGGTGCTCGGGGTGTGGGTCGTTACCTGCTAAAATTTTATCGTAATTAGCGGACTTGAATGCAATTCGTGGATATGCAACAGGTTTCAAAACTTCAGGCGAATAAAATTCTTGTCCCAGCCACCACAGATACGACAATAGTAATCCGTTATGTGCCGCACTAGAACACGGGATAGAGATGGCTCCGCACTCAGTTTCACAAAAAGCTGCTAGTCAAATATCCAAGCGCTAGCACTTACCAAAAAAACTTAATCTTAAAACAAATCCTAATCATAGCCCAATTTCCCTGGAATGCAGCGCAAAGTCACTTATATTAGGAGGCTCTTCCTCTTCCCACTCATGCCGGGGACTAGATACAGTTGTTGGCAGCAATTGTAAAATTTGGGCGGAAATGTCTGGAGAGCCGAGTGTGACAGCCATAAATTAGACGTTTAGAGCAACGACAGCAGAAGTAAGCAGTTCCTTATAATCGGTCCGGTGTATAATTTTATGGACAATGACCGGCAGAAATCCTAATATTACTTAATAGAACAGTTTAAGGAGAGTGAAATGACGATAATGGCCGCCCGTCTCATGTATACACCACCTGGCCATCGGGACACAGGTCCGACCCCCATCTTGCTTTCAGTGTTAATGTCTTTTAGTCCGCCTGGACCGGCTTCACCAAACCCTCACTGCCGCGTAACAAACTTTCACTTACCCCCTCCCCCCTTATTCCCCTGATTCACTTGTATTAAAAGGCGAAAGTCTTTAACTTGTACCCCATTCCCATATAAATGCAATGCTTCGATGAGAACTCATTGAAAAGTTATGCAGGCTCGCCAAGTACACTTCGAAATTCAACTTTGTCGTTTTTTCCGATTGAAAGTGGCTTCTTTACGAATGGCTTCCCGCTATTGCATTTGGCTATTTATGAGCTCTACCTTAGCATGAGCTATCCAAAACAAGCCTATCTTCCAATTCATTGCCGGAAATCTGACGTCAGCTAGAAAAAGCCATCGGACAACAGTGTTTACGGCAATGTTTATTAAACATTTGGTACTGGGATAGACTTTGGAGTTTTGGTAATGTGTAGAAATCTTGTCCTTTTTCGTACACAACAAACAGCTAGGCGCTGAAGCGGACCAGCCCTACAGGGCCGTGATTTCACAGGACATGTTCAAAAAAACCATAATACGCCATTGCCGGACTATTTGCAGCCGTGAGTATTGGCTTCTTCCTGTGTCTCGCGACTACAAATATAAGGTAGATTTGAAGACTCAGTTTCGAGATATTGACTATAATCAGCACATGCTGTGGCACAAAAATACCTAAAAATAAGGGCTGGTGTCTTAGTGTTGGACAGGATCCGAACAAGTGATATCCGGACATCGGAGTAACACTGTCCATTTAAAATTGAAAGCCTCTGAAACACATGCATATTGGTTAGTAAGATACAGCCCTTAAGCACGCACAACAGCGTATAAATGAGTGTTTATAAAAGGCACCCTCCCTGAAGGCTTTTAACCCTAATGATATTCCAATGTGCTACAAAAAATATGACTC